ATGACCTTCGACAGGCCCGTTTAATGGGGAGGATGATTGATAGCTTGAGGTTGAAGGGAGCAATTTTATTAGCACATGTGGTTTTTTTTTCTTTCTCTCTCGCTCTCTTAACATTATGATGGAAGGGGTTTTAAAATTGTGGCTTCCTCCTTCGCTGTTTCAGCGGCGAAGGCTTACGCATGCATAGTTGTGCGGTCCAACATGTAACATTACGGGTGAGGTGTGTACACCTCTGTGTTTTCTTTCCACTGACTCAAGTCATGTCAAAGTTGTCATCGCTGCTGTGAGTTGTGATTCTCTTCTCTATGGTCTGTTCTCGTTCACATAAGAGGTTAGAACGCCGACTTTGAGTCGGTTGAACTGAGCCTCTGACTCTTCACGGATTTTTGACTCCTGGTGCCTTTGGGGCTTTCCTTTGTCCACTTTCATCCCCCTATTGGGGAGTGTTTATCTCTCCGAAGGGCATTTTTTTTTTCAATCTATCCCACGCTTAGCAATACTTATCCCCACCACAATACACTTCCATCCACGAGTGGCTTCACCACTCGACCCGTGTTTTCAAGCAGAATTAACTCACCTCCGCTAAATGTGGATTCAGTCAAACGGTAGGATGAGATTTTTCTTCCCTACCTCCTCCTCCTCTAACATTGCCTCCTGGCAGGCAAATCGGGGCACATATTAAAAGTCGGTAAAAATCAATCTGAATGGCGAACAGCCTTCCACCGTCGGCTGTAAAATATGCGTTTTTTTTCAAGCCGAGGGCAGAACGTTTGAAAAGCATACATCTTTTTTTGTGCCTCTTCAAGCAAATAAAGTAGACATGAAAAATCCACATTAACTAGAACAGGATGTTAAATAGTGGCTTGTTGCTTACAAAAATGTCGAAGGAGTTTATGTCATCTAGTCTTTGACCTATTAGGAGGACCACTTCCGCATGCATCAGGGCCTCGGCAGGGTCTCGACAACTCCTATCATCCAGCCCACATTGCCGCCTCCCCCATGCCCCCCGTGATCTACACCTCCAACTATCCCCGACAGAATCACTCTGTATCCTACCAGGCACCATTGTCTTCTGAAGATCGGGCTCCGGCGGCTCCAATTCCAGCTCGACGGCAGTTTAGCAATCAACACTACCATCTACCTCCTAATCCGCCTCTTCAAAGGCTTCGTTCCCCACCGCCACCATTACAACATCAACAACAACCGTTACCACCGTTACCAGCACATCAGTCTCAAACCCATACCAATGTCCAAATGCCTTCCAGTAGAGGTACTGCTTTCAAGAAGGTGAACAGTTCCGCTGCACCTCCTCCCTATGACTCACTCAGAACTGTTATCGGTGATCCAGCCAATCAGGTAAGCGCAATTTCGTTCGGCCATTTCATTGGCTGGAAGCAAATCTTGCCTCTATACTTCTTACTTCACGATTTATACGAATATTGAAATCGTTTTACTGCTTGAACACAGCATATCTCATTTCCACTCATTTTGAGGATGAAGTCAGTTTCTTCTCCCACCTCTGAGGCTTTAGGATAGGGCAAAAATGCATTTCAAATGCCCTATCCTGTCGCAGTTTTAATTATCTTCTTGTGCATGAATTCTTTTGCGTGGTCATTTGATCACAAAGGGGCTTTTGGATTTGTATCTCCTTTTTTATCCTATGGTGCTAAACCTTTTCGTCTCTGAACTGAAACAAGTTCTTACTTGGGAGCCACATTCGTCAAATAGGTGGAAATTGGCGCAAAAGGTGTGAAAAGAACTCTTGTGGTTGTGTTTGATGGACGCCAAAGTACATATAGTCACTTGGTTGCTGCACCTCCTCTCCTTTTGCGTAGAAATACAAATTCAAGCCTAAGTGTGGTGTGTTACGCAAGTTCTCACGACAAATGGCTACTCAAAGTCCAAGTGATTTGTAACTACATGATTCACAATCCAAGATTCGAGGCGAGAGAACTTTCCGGCTCCGAAATGAGGGGCGGGCTATTTCCGATCTCCTTTATCACCCTTTTGGCGCCACTGCTTGCATTGTGATCAGCAACGGAAAATGCGTGCGTAACGTATATCTAAGTAAATGTCTCCGCTCAATGGCACGGAGAATCGTGCCTAAAGAAGGTGAGTTTTATTGCCTTTGATTTCGTGTAAGAAATGAGGAGAAGGCGATCGTCTTTACCTCGTGGATAAGGCATGATTTCCACGCTCAGCGTATATGGGAAAGTCCTCCTTCTCTCAGTTGGGATGTCAAAGCTAAGTGCTCACTCGACACCACTCTTTCGTTAGCACAAATTGGTGCTGATCGGTGTCATCTGGCACGAGAATTGGTGCCTAACCGATATTGGAAGCACCATGATTTGAACGTTTGGGTGATGCTCAAGCTTTCATATATGTGCAGGTGCGTGTGTGTGTAGGCATTTGTGACAAGCAGTTGTGTTCAAGTGGATAGATGACTCATGGCCCCTCACCAATTCGACGTAGCGTTCAGTTTTCTCTCACTCTACAGATCTCCTCCTTTCATTAATTCATTGCGTTTCTCTAAAACAGATTACCAAATGGTTTCTTGATCGTCACAGAAGAGGATATTGAGCATAGCAATGGAAATGTTAATGCAAGTCATTACTGTTCACTAGGTTTGCGCTCAATGCGAGTCAAAACAAAATACTTGCGATGAAATGGCCACCTTTCTCCTTAACAATTGGTGAGATGATTTTACCTTTTTTGATCCTTGGGTCATGGGGGCATTGGCCTTCAGTTTCCTTTCATGACCGTCATTTGATCCACTTTGAGCGACTCTAATGAGCTGTATTAGAATGATAAATAATCTTGCCCTCTCTCAAGTTGTCAACAAGCTGCTTGGTTAATTAGCAATCTGCGCAATACATCATCATCCGTGTTCTATTTTTCCTTTCTAATATTTGCTGTGCATTGCTGGAATTGTGGAGCGCTTTGGACGACGTCCAAAAGGCCGAAATGGCGGAAATTTTATTAAGAAAGCAGGTGATTTTTTTTGGCTTACTGTTGATTCATCAAACGACTGGTCACTTACATAAAACAGTTGATAGTTTTACACTCTGCCAATGGGCATGAATCGGGACACGAGCCAATTTTTCTTTAGAGGCTACAACTGACATTTGTCGTGAGCTTTAGCCCTTCAATTTGTCCAAATTTACGACTGTAAGGCTTCAGCGTGTCAAGTGTGGATGATGAAGCAATCCGTTTACATCTTAACCAACTGTGATGAAGAGGTACTGTAGACTGTGGAGTGGACTAGACAGTTGACAGACAGTGGGATTGCTTGTTGAAAGGAGGAATGCTGAAGGAACTTCACTCATTACACCCAAACACCTCACTTGGCCACTTATTTTGTGTGTATGCGAGGTGCCGGAAAGCTGTCATTGAGTCGACAAAGTTGACACCAAGAGGTTGCTAGAACGGGCTTTCAAGGTCGACCAAATGAGTTGTTGTGTACGAGACAAAGTTTTCACTAACACTCCCAAGTCTTCCTACCCAAATAACTCAAACCCGTCGGTTAGCAACAGCACACTTCTACACCATTCACCGTGTTGAAAAAGTGGGCGTCTCATCTTAAACTTCTCACACTCAAACGCTTTGGTGTGTTTTATTTGTTTTATTTTTGCCTCATGATACACTAGCATGCATTTTCCCACCATGAAATGTTGGTCTTCTCACTCCCTTTTCTGTGCTTTTTTACCCTCGTCTGCATCTTCAGTGTGTGTGTGTGTGTGTGTACGCAATGTCAAAAGACTACATCTTATACGTGATTTATGGAACATGCCAATTTTGATTATGGAGATGACTTAATGGCCTCCATTAGAATGGTCGTTAAAAACCTGCGGCCGTATACTGATTCATTCTGGTCACCCCAACAAGACCTATCATCTTCCTTCCGTTTTAATTGAAAAAATGACCCTTCCATTTTCCCTCCCTCCATAGTGGGCAAATTGTGATCCTCTTGGGCACTTCATTTCACTCAGCCTTAAGTGTGTTTTGGAATTCAAAGTGCATTAAAATTGGCTTTTAAAGCATTTTGGTAAATTTTGACTTCTGAAGCACTCGGTCTGGAGTCCCACAGGCGCTCCCATTGGTGCCCTTGGTGTTCACCGTCCCTCAACCACTTTGTGGTGAGTTGAGGGTTTTCACTTTGCCTTCTGCCTTGACCTCAAGACCACCTTTCGGTCATTTCACGTCTGATAACAATCGCATGATTTTTGTTTTTTTTTTTTGTACAAATAAGGCAAAGTTGTTGCTGTCACGACAATTTTCCTTTTCCACTTTGTTAGGTGTACAATTAAAACAAGTTTGTGCATTATTTATGCGTCCCAATTCTCCAACTTAACTCCCGTCACGGTCATAAAGTCGGAGGAGGTAATTATTAAAGACACTTGGAAGTCTTACCAATTGTATGATGGTGTTGGAAATGACGAAACTAGTTTTCAGGCTTGTCAGGTCATCTGGCATAGGGGAAGGAACAGTTGTTTGGTCCCAGACTACAAGTTTTATCCTCAAAGTTAAGAAGGTTGCTTTGATAAGAGAAGTTTTCTCTATCGGATAAACAAAATATTTATTTGGAGGCGTAGTTTTGGTTGCTTTCACCGCCCAAACTCATTGAATCCTTCAATAGCCAGTAAGATAGCTGCCTACGTTAAAAATCTTTATCAGAGTCACCCGGTTTGTGTTAGACATCAAACAAAGCGCTTGTTAATATCCACTACTCGTGCCCTCTTTTGACAGTGCCAGCAGTATTGAAGTGATACGTGGTTTCTGGATTAGCAGTCGCACGGGCCTCGTGGCTGACTGAGTCATCGTTAGAAGGTTGAGGGGGGGAGGGCGAGGTAGGGGAGGCGAGAAGGTCACAGTTTCACTGGGGTCTAGGGTGACGTTGCCTTGGCACGCAATATTGCGTGACAGATGCTGAAGGTGGAGGTAATTGCGACTGTGGTTAAGGTCTCTAGGCCTGGAAGTAATTGGTCTAGGGTAGTATGACTGTTTACCGGAAGGGAGATCAAATGCGCTTTCCTGCCTCCCCTTTGGCCTCCCCCCACTATATTTTCCACATCTGCCCTTTTTGAACTATATAAGTGCTATTGGAGGCCTAATTTGGGTCTCATGGGAATGTTTTTATTCAACACTCTTGTCCATGTAATGATAGTTTGTCCGTACTGTGAAAATGACAGCTTGAGGCCGAGTCAGCATCAAGAGGATGAAGAGATTCCTTTCTCATCACATTTGGTCTGTTTTTGCAATGTATTGTAAACTTTTTGACATTAGCAACATTGAGATTACTCAATTTTGGACTGCGAAAGCCACTGTTGTTTCACTTGCCTGTGGTCGCTTATTTTTTGTTAGTAGCACCGTGTAGTAAACACCTGTCGATGTAGCTGCCTCATTACCAGATTATGGACTGAATAACAATATTTATTAACCCCTTGTCCTATATATGTCCTACTTCTTTATATCGGGAGATTCATAACTCTGAGAAGACTGAATGATGACATTTGTAGGGGGGTCGGATTGCAAGGAAGATAAATAAAATGTAAAATAATTTTATTCCACGTATTTCCCTGTAATGTGTTTGTCACCGAGGTCCCATTTTTCATCTCTATCAACCGTAACAATTCAGTTGAATTGCCGAAATTTTTAATGCCCTAAGTTTAATCGACCTCAAAAGACAGACTTTTATTGTCAACTGATCACTTGTCTCATGTGTAAATGAGAGTTGTCACGCGTCTCCACAAATTGCTCAGGGTTGTCGCGAGCAAATTGGCGTTCTAAAAGTGTCTAGACAACCTTCACATTACTCGTGTAAGACACATTCATAGATTATTGAAAACCTAGAGGAAGAAGAATTCGAGGTACATCGCTTTCTTGTTGCACAATTTAGTGTCCAGCAGGGGAGACGGGAGGTGGCGGAGGGGTGAAACAATGGGTAAAGCGTTGTTAACCGCAGTGTGGCACTTTTTTCTGCAATTCTTTTTAGCAAATCACCTTTTTGTGCAAGTGTTCAAAATCCTTTTTTTACACTTTTTTTTCTATGAGATACTTAAAAATCAAAAATCGATACACTTAATTATCTCTCCTCTCATTTTACTCCCCTTTTTATTTAAAATCAATATAATCAATCCGATTTTATTCTTCTCCCCATGTTTTTATGATTATTAGTTTCGTTTTTTTTTTAAAAGTTTGAGTGGGCACTTCTGTTGTATCATGTTCTGAGGTAAGGTGGTTCTCCACATTTACGCATATTTGGGGATTCGTCTACACTCACCTTAGCGGAGGAGGGGAGTGAGGGGGAAGAAACTGCACATTTTTGGATCATTCGTATATACGTTTGTGTGTGTTTATGCACTCCTTGGGCCTATTGTCTATGTGAAACATATGTTTGGTGAAGTAACGGCTATTTTTTTTTTACACCCTTATTGCAATGTCTGGTTGCAGGTAATTGTGGTGATGGAGAGAGCGGGACACTGGAGGAGGTTCACTATGGGCATTACTTGGGAAAGAAATGTTCGTTGTATTGTTCAGCGATTGAAACATGGAGTAAAATTAATGGTGCCTATGGTAAAGAATCATTTTAGGACTGTTGACTTGTCAAGGTTTGAGCAAAAATAACAGAAAAAGTTATTGGTTGTCATGACTACCGGAAAGGAACCTACAATCATTTACTTCCTTTCCT